AGAGGGAGAGGGGCTGTGTGCTGATGACTGGGGCGGGGCAGACTTGCAGGGTATACCCTTTGGTTGGTTGATGAAGCAAGGAGGGAATTGTAACCATGGCAATGAAACGATATATGATAGGATGATTGTAAAGCTAATGTTCTCCCATGTAACCATGTAAACTATCACATAATTCACAATAAAACATTAAAAAAAAAAAAATTGTAGCCTAGGAAACTCTATAGAAGCAGTTCTACTCTGTCATATAGGGTTGCTATGAGTCAGAGTTGATTTGATAATAGGTAATGATGCTCTGGTAGCGTAGTGGTTACGAATCAGGCTGCGAACCTTAAGGTCAGTGGTTCGAAACTACCAGCCGCTCCGCGGGAGAAAGATGAGGCTTTCTACTACCGTAAAGATTTACACCCTCGGAAACCCTGTACAGGGTCGCTATGGGTCGGAACCGACTTGAAGGCACTTAACAACAACAACAACAATGATGTTGAATATCTTTTCATGTGCTTGTTAGCCTTTTCACTATCTAACATGTTTTGGTTAGGTTGTTTGTCGTTTTGTAGTTAAGTTATAGATGTTTTAGGATATATTTTGGATATAGACCCTTAACCGATATATGGTTCCTAAAATTTTTCTACCAGTCTGGAAGTTGTTTTTTCACTTCATTGATAAAGGTTTTTGTTGTTCTTTCTTCATTACTTTTTTTATTTTCCTGCTGTTGTTTCCTAGTTTTTTAAAAATTTATTTTCCTTCTCTCTTGTGGAAGTGTTTTCTCTTTTTCTCACCTGACAAGAGACAGCAATGGCGATCATACAGCCCAGCCACAGCAGTACCGTCTACAACTCCAGCAATTGGGCTTGAGTCAGTACCAGCCAGTTCAGCAACAACAGCCAGTGCCAGCTAAAAGCTAAACACTGAGCTAAACTGCATGAACAGAGAACAGTGTACAAGCAACCCACCAGGAGGTAGTTAGTGAGGGCCTAAGTAACATATTCTCATCAGCTTGATACAAATACAACAGAGTAGCTCAAAGAGTGACAAAGAGGCAGAGCTAGAATTTTTTTTTTTTTAATT